GAAACTGATTTTCAAATTGGAACAGTTTCAACTCATTGGTAATTGGTAAAAGATTCCTTCCACTTTTCAACTTCTTGGAAGTTGAAACTCTTTTACTCTCACCGTTCCACCTACCAAATTAATGGAACCCGTGAACCCTCTCCTCTCCTATTTAAATCAAGATATCTCAATCCATTTCCATCACAAACAACTCTCTCAATATGAAAAGTCCTCAAACTCACTGTCTAAGAAACACACCAAGAAAAATATCCTCAATGGAGAAATTTTTCTTTCTCACCCTCATAGACGGCAATGGAAGAAGCCTATTGAGAAGAAAAGACTTTCAAGGTCTACGGTGAGAATCTCGGCAGTAGAGAAGGTCTATGGTGGAAATCTCGTATTTTTCAGTATTAGACCATACACCTTCTCTGAAACAACACTCTCTCTATCTTTCTTCTTATTTTGAGAGATGTGTTGCTTCCAAGATCTTAAATATCCACTTTGGATATTAAAGATCTATCAAACGCAACGCCAACCGCTCTGCCAAGAAGAATCTGCTGAAGCTGAAAACGGTCAATGGCGGAAGAGATCACAAAATCTCAAGACAAGACTTGGTTTAGGAATTATTGTAATTTGAATTGTATTTGTTTAAGAGTTTTTGTTAATAAGCTGTATATTATGAGAAACTAAAAGAAAGTTACAAAATTAGTTCTCAGTACAGCGACCGAAACTCTTAAATACTTGTTTGTCATCATCAAAAAGGGGGAAATTGTTGGGAAAAATATCATAGATTTTGATGATGATGTATTTAGAATGTAATAGGGACTTTAGGTCTCCCCCAATATTCAATGTAATTTTTCTTTTTGGAAATATTGTTAAAACCAAGTTCTTGAGATTTCCAATAAGGTTATGATATTTCTTTAAGCGTTTTGATGCCTGAAGACTTAATCAAATTCAGTGACATGGAAATTGGATATCTTAATCGGAAATGCTAGAGACAAGTAAGGATTTCTCAAGCAGATGAAAATCCTCTGTTCCGGAAGACTACATAAGAAACGGATGTCTCGCTACAACCCGCTGAAGGCTAAGTCACCCAAATCGGAAGACTAGCGCGGATCTCTTTCTCACCCGGAAGTCTGTGAATGACTCCTCCGGATTTGTCAGCTAAGAACCGGATGTCTCAAGGAAGACCGAAATTCTCAAAAAGCGGACAAGTGAGAAAAGAATTAAAAGATTATCTAAGTCTTGAATGAAGAAATTCTACCCGTTGGTAAGGAAAAATCAATCTCTTGATTTTCAACGGCTAGATTGAAGATAATTATGCTGATTTAAGAACAAATGACTCGAAGACAAAGTCTGAACCTCTAAGAATTGAAGAACCTGTCCAGAATTCCTAAACAAGCACTAGAAGACAAACAGAGTAAAGTTCTACAGTATTCTAGTGCTTTACTCTGTTTGTCTTCTAGTGCTTGTTTAGGAATTCTGGACAGGTTCTTCAATTCTTAGAGGTTCAGACTTTGTCTTCGAGTCATTTGTTCTTGAATCAGCATAACTATCTTCAATCTAGCCGTTGAAAATCAAGAGATTGATTTTTCCTTACCAACGGGTAGAATTTCTTCATTCAAGACTTAGATAATTTTCTAAGTCTTTTCTCACTTGTCCGCTTTTTGAGAATTCCGGTCTTCCCCTGAGGCATCCGGTTCTTAGCTGACAAATCCGGAGAAGTCATTCTCAGACTTCCGGGTGAGAAAGAGATCCGCGCTAGTCTTCCGATTTGGATGACTTAGCCTTCAGCGGGTTGTAGCGAGACATCCGGTTCTTATGTAGTCTTCCGGATCAGAGGATTTTCATCTGCTTGAGAAATCCTTACTTGTCTCTGGAATTTCCGATCAAGATATCCAATTTCCATATCACTGAATTTGATTAAGTCTTCAGGCATCAAAACGCTTAAGGAAATATCACAACCTTATTGGAAATCTCAAGAACTTGGTTTTAACAATATTTCTAAAAAGAAAAATTACATTGAATATTGGGGGAGACCTAAAGTCCCTATTACATTCTAAATACATCATCATCAAAATCTACCCTTCAAGTACACGTCAGCCTTCCAAATGAGGTCCTTTTGAGAGTAAATGTTAAAAGCTAAATGAAATACTAGCTCCATATAATAGGGAGTAGTCGTACCTAGTGGAATTTACTCGTATTATATGAAATTAATATTTCGTTTAACTTTTAATATTTACTATCAAAAGGACTTCATATGGAGGGCTGACGTGTACCTGAAGGACTACTTATGGACTTTTGAAACTTGAAGTACTAATGGTGCAAAACTCATAAACTTGAAGGACTATTTATGGACTTTTGAAACTTGAAGGACCAATCGTGCACAATTGATAAGGTTGAAGGACCAATGGTGAATTTTAGCCTTGTCAGAATCGATAGAATTTGATCTAGTTTTTGGTCATGAAGGGGGTGGGGGGTTTCGGGTCGGGGCAAGGTGGGGGTATGACTCGTCAAATTTACGAGCGGGACACCATAGCGGCTTCGAGTCTATCCATGACATGCATGAGGTTCTAATGTCATGAGAACCCTCCCCTATTATTATTATTACTATTATTATTATTATTATTATTATTATTATTATTATTATTATTATTATTATTACTATTATTATTATTATTATTATTATTATTATTATTATAATGTTCATAATAGGTACAAACGTGTAGACAATTTGACGAGGTGAATAATGTACATATCATTTAATTAGAGACACAAGGAGTAGCATAATTGTTACTCCGTATGTCTTAATTTAAAATATTGATGTTACTCTGTGTCAATTTAGGTTAAAAAAATATCCATAGTTTTTAGAACATTCTTTGGTTTCAAGTAAATTAATAAGAAAACATTTTTTTCAATAAAATTGTATTCCGTATTATTTGTATTAGAAATGGAAAAAAAATGAGTATGAATCACAAAATAGTGAAACGAGAAAAATTAAAATAATATATAAACTATAGTTATGAACATAATACATGAAAAATGTTTGATTTTTAGAATAATTTATTTGAGGAGTAAAAAATATTGAAGAGAATGGATATTGTTACAAAAATTAGAAGAAACTAGAAAAAATTAAAAAAAAACCTGAAAAAATGAAAAGAAAGTAGAAAAATTGAAAGGAATTAATAGAAATCCAAAGTTAAAGAGTTTATTCCTTAAAAGATGCTATAGTTCAGTGGAAATTTTATTACTGCCTCTTTGGTCAAAGGTGGACATGGGTCGGGATGGTTCAAGTTTTATACCGTCCCGGGTTTGGTCCCATTTTCTACAAACGGTTCGGGCCAAAAGTTTATCCATCTTTGCCCTTAATATTAGTGATGGGATTAACCCGATCAGATGGCGGACCAAGAACGCAATATGAATTGGAAAGATATACTCACTCAATAGTATTCTTTGATTAAGTGTGTAATTGCCTAGTTTTTTTCTTACAATGGCGGGTTCTTTCCCCCTTTATCGTACTTCTAATTTCTCAGTTAAAATTATACATAATGGGAGGAATTATGGAGATCATGGGGTTGTGATTCCTCCTTTTCCGGTCTCGTTCTCTTCCCATTTGGCCCACAATCTGGTGGTGTGGACCACGGGTCCCGTCATTCCTTATTCGCCATACACGTCTTAGTGGGCTCAATCCGTTACTCGTACTTGGCCTTGTCCATTTCGCACTATTGTGGGCCTTTATTGGGCCTGGAGTCGGGTCCATCAGACCCGATATCCATCACAAGCCCCCTAGTTTTCTAGCGACGTATCGCTAGAAAACTAATGATGAGCCGCCTTCGGTTTTCGTGTCGGATTAGAAACGTCACACTCGAGTGCCTTGGGTCCCTCCTTACAACGGGTATAACCCCTTCTTGACTCACCTTCTTCCTTCTTCACTCCCGAATCTTGACCCGACCCGAATTCCGACTGCAATTGTCCCCAAATTCTCGTTTCTTTCTCCGAAATGGCCCTTTCTGCAGATCCCGCAACCTGGACCCACGAACCCTCTATCATCAAAGAGGATGAACTTCAGGAAGTGGCCGGACTTCTGGGCAGAGGCTTCCGGGTCCACCATCCCAATGCCGTCGGGGGAATTAGTCTTTCTCACAATCCAAATCCCTAGAAGTACATGGTCATGCACTATCACTCCGTAGAGAATGGGTTCAGATTGCCCCTTTATGGCTTGGTTCGCGACATCTACTGCCGTTTCGGGTTCGCCCCCAGTCAATTGACTGCAAATGCGCACAAGTATGTCGCGTCCTACATCTTGCGTTGATGTGCCCTAGATAGAACCCCAACTCTGGACGAATTCCACGTCCTTTTCAGTATTGGTGGGTCTTTCCCCTATTACAGTCTGTTTCCCCATCCCCAAGCTCCAATTTTTGAGAGGGTTGAGTCAAAAATCGACAAGTGGGCCCACCGCTACTTCGTTATCGAGTTCCCAGTTCATAGCCCCATTGATCTTCCGGGTGTTGTACGCCGTAGTTCTATCTCCCGGACACGGTTCGCTGCTATACCCCTGGTGGATGCAGCATACAATGCGTTGAGAGAGGAACGGGGTCTGATTTCACATCACTCCCTGCAAGACGCTAGGTTGTACAAGAAGGCGGATTTTTACTACCCTCCAGGCCCTAACCCCATTCCGTTTGAAGGGGTGTCTTCCCCTGAAAGGTCAAAGGCTCCTCTTGTTGTGGAATCCAATCCAGCCGGGAGCTCCTCTGGAAACCAAGCCCAAGGTAATTCCACTGCCTTGGCTATTTGCAAGCCGGCTGCTGCCCTAGAGGCTATCCCCATCTCTGCTATTCCCGGGCTGAGAAGGCCTACACCGTCCCGGAAACGGCCGCGGGAAGGGGTCACTGATGATGATTTCCTTCCCAAGAAGAACAAGGGTGATGGCACTCCAGCTTCGCCTAGCCCCATGTCTACCTCTTCTTGTACCCAGAACACCACCCCTGCTGCCGCATCTAGAGGTTTAGAGTTACCCCACCCGGATAGCTTAGATCGTGAGGGGAATGAACCTCCTGACGAAGCAGCACTCAAAAGACCTGCGGTGCAGCCTCAGATTGAGGTGAACAATATCTCCCCACCAACTGCAACTACCCCCCAAGGGGTAGAGGAAGAAGCTGAGAGGCAGAAGGAACCAGAGGTTTTCCCTACGATGGAGAAAGAAGTTGGAGGGCAGAAGTAGGCGGGAGCTTCCCCAGATATGGAGAGAGACTGAGAAACAGCAGGAACCAGAGAAACAACATTCCGCCGCAACACCCCCAGCCTTCAATCTCCCCATTCAGCGCAAGTTCACGCCACAAACCTACCCAGCCTTCTAGGAGGGTTGGGCAAGTTTTTCTCGCGGTTTGAGATCCCTGCGGCCTCCCATTGGACCATCTAGGCGAACCTGGAGAAGATGAAGGAATCAGTGCAGGAGCCCATAATTCCCCAGGCACGCCCTGACCTGCTTGCCCTCAACGCCCTACACTCCATGGAGCAGTTACTCTTCCCTTTCAAGAGTCTCTTTATTTCTTTTTTAGTTATCCCCTTTCTTGACATCTCCCTCTCCTTTTCAGGCCCAGCAATCACTCCTTACCCTAACTAAGGAGTACCTGGGTGGAGCGTGGGGAAATTATCGGGCCGTGATGGTCCTGAAGGAAAAGGAGTTGGCCGCCAGGGCTCTACAACAAAAAGTTGATTTCCTAGAACAACAAGTCCAAGCCCTTCAAGGAGAGAACGCCAAACTCAAGGCAGAGGGCTTGGCGGAACTGATGGCTGAAAGGTCCAGGGTCAAGTCCCTACAAGAGCAGATTGCTATCTACCAAAGGGGGACCCGGGATCTGGAAACGCAGTTCGACAAACTCTAGGTGCAAATCTCCACCCTGGAGTCAAAGGCCTCGGCTTTAGAAGACAAAGTGGGGAGTCTAAATGTAACGTCCTACAAACCGGCCTAGTTTTAAATAAATAAATATTATTCATTTATTGAGACTCATTATTTTAAATTAATAAGTATTGAGATTTCGATCTCTTTAAATGGCTTTCCAAAGCTAATGTATTTTAATATAAAAAGATGTTTTAATAACGGACCTCTCAACATTAATTAAATAAATTAATTAATGATTGGGGTGGACCCAGAAGTTTGAAAATAAAAGTTCTTAGGAAAATTATTTGAACATGTCATTAAATTCGTTTTGACTGTCTGATTCCGGAAACACAAACGGATATAAATTCAGACCCGTTCGGGGGGAAAATCACGTACCGTTCAGATCAAATTCTACACAACAGAGTAGGATTTAGGGAAGTAACTCCCCAAATTATGAACCACACGCCACACACCCTTTCATCTCCCATAACCACCCCATTCATTCCCAATTAATCCACCATTATTCACCCATTTAATCTCCATTATTTAAACCCCCCCTCTCTCCATCCATCTCCCTCATCACTTGTAACTCCCACACAAGCATCTAACACCCTCAACTCTTCCTCTCCCTTTTTCTTTTGGTGGTTTGGCCAAGCAGCAGCAAGAAGGGAGACATTCCGGCGAGGAGTCAAAGTAGAAGGAAGGAAGAAGTTCACACGAGAAGCCGTACGTTGACCGTTCGTCCATTCGTTAGACGTCATTCATTCATCTCGTTTCATTGTTCCGTCAATCCCTTGATTTAGAGGTGAGTAGTTGTCTCCAATAATTCTAGAACATCAAGTCATAATCTATGTTGTTATATTCATAGGAATATCGTACGCAACCTACGTAGAATCTATGCATGTTCATAGGTTAACCATCAAACATACGTGAGTCCACGTTATCAAGTTATGTACTCGTTAATATAAATGTTTTGAAACCTTGTAAGTTCATCGATTATTTAGCATGGAAATGCAACCATTTGTTTCTAAAACCTCCAACGTTTTGATGACAAGCAAACATATAAAATGGAAATTAGCGTGCCTTGATAATCGAGTTACAGGATAGTACAATCGACTATCAGGCCACGCTGGACTCCTCAATTGATTCAGCACAGCGTGATAATCGATTATCACATATGTGATAATCGACTATGAGGCCCTGCGGATTCTTGGGTCTGAGTTGGCTTCTTTGATAATCGATTATCACATAGGCAATAATCGATTATCATGGCTCTCTGAACTTAGGACTTCTCGAACAAACCAACTTGACAATCGATTTTCATAAGGTGACAATCGACTATCACAGTCTGCAGGACTTTGGGGACAGAAGCTGCACAGCATGATAATCGATTGTCAACAATAGACAATCGATTATCAGCCAGTTCTGAACCTAAGGCCATCATGTTGAACAAATTGTTTTCATACGGAATCAAATATATATGTATGCGTTGAATTTAATTTCATTCTTCAATCAATGCATTCTTTTCATCATGTTCATCCTAGATGCATGTCCTAGTGTCATCATCATGTCCATACCGCTGTAGGGAGGTCAGGCTTTCGTGCGCCTACTACAGTGGGCCCGTCCAGGAACCTTTGGGATCCAACGGGTTTTCATCAGGTGGGCTTTGTGTACGTACATGGTAGTCAGGCTACGGCTACCACCCAGTTTTGCTAGTACAGTTGCGACGTTTTGTCGAGCCCGGCTCATTACCAGAGTGCAGGGGTGATCCTGTCAAGTGAGACTAAGTCAGGGGTATCATGCATCAGGTCATATCATCATCATGTATGTTCATGTCACGTCAACACTCAATGTGGTTGTCATCATCATGTATGTTCCCCATCATATTTATATTCAATGTGGTAGTATATCATTTTGTTATGTGTAATAATATCCCATCAAGTGCAAATTAATCAGTTAGTAAACATGTGTTTTTTTCTGTACGTTAAGTACAGGTATTAATATGTGTATAATCATATGGGTTATCACTTCATGTTCTTTTGTTAGGTTCACTCCTCAGCTTTTGCTGAGCGTGTAGTTGTTTTTGCTACACGCAGGTAGACTTGACGGTACAGGTGCTAACTCTGGAGGACGGTGATGGTGGGAAGATGGGTGGCGCATGGACAAGTTCAATAATTAAATACATTTAATTAATTAATCATTTGGGCATGAACCCACCATTTGTCGTTTTACTCATTTATTTACTTCCGCTTTTACTCTGCATTTAAATCACACACGTTTTGGGATTAACTCCCTAGCATTTATTCCACCAATTAAACACAACCGTTTTCACAAAAAATGGACATTAATGCGTTTTTCTCTACGGACGGTTCTCGGACCGCCCATGTAACCCTACCGGTCCGTTGGGTCGCGGGTGAACCGGGTCCACAGAAGGCGGGTGTTACACTAAAAGCCGAGCTGGTTGAAAGGGAATCCCGGATCTCTGAGCTGGAGAATTCACTCCATAATGCCAAGCAAGAGGGTGCCCATTTTAACGATCTTGTGGTGAAACTGTAACACCCTAATCCGTCCAGGTCTGCAGCCCCTTTCAGACTAAAGTATTAACTTGGTAATCGTAAAATTTAAAACTTTTCAAACACTTTTATTTATCACGATAATATTTTTCATAACATATACAGTGCGGAGTTTTCAATATTGCGGAAGCTTAACAAATCATAATTACAAACATAATTTATTTATGTTCTTTAATTCAAAACCATCACATCCATTCCGACAATCTCGCCTCCGTCTGCCTCCAGAATCACGTCACATCATTCTTTCTATTAACCTGCGTGTAGCAAATAAAACATACTACACACTCAGCGGTGAAGCTGAGTAAGCATATCTAAAGCGTCGAACATCCATATAAATTGAACCCAAATTCATAATCAAATCATTTGATATCATGCACAAAGTATTCAGTTCAAATATACAATAATCAATATTCAACATTCGTCATTCAATATACATATTCAACATTCAACATCCTCATTCAATAATATCCTTAAACTATTCTTAGTCTAAGGCCAATCTTTTTAATGTTTACCAACTCTTTCTATCCAACTCTTAAACTTATTAGAGTTTAAGGTACTTCTAACCAACTCTTAAGCTAGGTCATTAGTTTAAGGTACATATATTCCGATTGATTTACCAACTCTTAAACTAGCCTTCGCTTAAAGTACAAATCCAGAAAACCGAACAGTAGGATACTAACTGTCGGGTTGGGTGGCATCCCCAAACGAGTTCCTCTAGTTTGGTTATGGATCCCGTACGTAC